CCTGATCCTAAGTTGATTCATATTCTTTTGTTTTCCAATGTCATTAAGTACAAGGGATATCCCTATCTTAGAAATTCCAAATCCCTAATCTGGACATACCTCTATAATCTGACTGTATGAATAGTTTGTGTAGGAAAGGGTTGTTATATACATTTTTCAGAAATGACTAATTTTTGGTCATATCGTTCTACTTATGACTGCCAAAGAATGTTAATGCCAATTCCAGTCTTCATTGATAAAGAGTAGCCCAAGAGATTACCAAATAGCCTCCAAGTAGGTGAATTTGGAATAAATATACTCATTGGAAGAAACCTTAAATATATCTTTAGAAGTTAGCACATTGTCTTTTATGCTAAATACTTTGAAATAATTTTTATTTCGTAAAGAAAACTGAAAAATAACTTTGAAAGTTCATGTTCCATGTTCAATTTTTACGTCGAATTTCAAATAATTCCAGGTACTTGGATAAAGTCCAAAATGCATAATTAGAAAATAGAGAATTGTGTTCTATTAGAAAGGTGAACTTATAATAATTTGAAACCCTTTCAATAATACAAGCATTCAAGTTAACATATTAACTCGCTAGCTATTCCTGGTAAGGCACTTTTAACACTTTAAACTACCACATGTTTCCCCTCTTGAAAAATAAGGCCAGACCTCAGGCCTCGTTTAGTGTCGTGGGACAGCCATTATTATTAGGCACCAGATTTTTGTGATAATCGACTTTTATTAATTTTCTCTGTTTATTAACAAATCGACACTTCTCACACGCCAAGTGAGTCGATCCAAGTGTCACAGCGGTAAGTCTGTGGACTTCTAGTGTTAGAAATTGCGTTTCGATGCCTATGGTGAGCACAGCACAGACAGCCCGTTGTATAGCTTTGTACTTAACAACAGACAAGCAAACAAAACCAGGTGAGTTATTTAGCAACTGAGCCAAAGTATTAACCCACTAGCAACTGCTAAAGTGAGGCACTTGTTCAACAACTTCAACTTCCATAATGGTGACATTTTGAGGCACTTCTTCAACAACTTCAACTACCATAATGGTGAAATTTTGAATCACTTCTTCAAGAACTTCAACAACCATAATGGTGAAATTTTGAGTCTCTTCTTCAACAACCATAATGGTGACATTTTGAGGCACTTCTTCAACAACGTCAACTACCATAATGGTGAAAATTTGAGGCATTTCTTCAACAACTTCAACTATCATAATGGTGAAATTTTGAGGCACTTCTTCAACAACTTCAACTATCATAATGGTGACATTTTGAGGCACTTCTTCAACAACTTCAACTACCATAATAGTGAAATTTTGAGGCACTCTTCAACAACTTCAACTACCATAATGGTGAAATTTTGAGGCATTTCTTCAACAACTTCAACAACCATAATGGTGACATTTTGAGGCACTTCTTCAACAACTTCAACTATCATAATGGTGAAATTTTGAGGCACTTCTTCAACAACTTCAACTACCATAATGGTGAAATTTTTATTTTTTTATTCAAAACAGTACAATTATTTTTTGATTATTTTTACTGGCAGACATGTTTTGAAATATTTCGATGGGGTTTTCACAACTTGCTTTATTTATAGAACCAGTAGTTGCTGCTTAATCCAAAGGCTTAAAACTTAGGCGTCACTGACAATCTATATTGGTTGTAATAGGTTTTATTATTCTACTTGTTACATGTGATTTTTGCAATAAAGTTTTTCAGCAAATATTTAACTTCAATTAGAATAAGTTTTTTAACATTATTTTGGACAATTCTATCTTTATCAAAATATATAGGTTAAAATTTGAATTACTGGGATCTTTTATTGCTAAATACGATCAATTTCTAAAATTTAAATTACTCGTTACTTAAAACAAGGTTCGAATTCCCATCCCACCAAACATGCTCGCCCTTTCAGCCGTGGGGGCGTTATATGTGACGGTCAATC